GCCTAGTTTTCACAGCCGATATTGATTGTGGATGTGCATAGGGATTTGATTCTTAGAAGGTCCCATTAATCTATTTTATCTTCTCCTGGTTGTAGCTTTTTCAGGATGCTTGGAAGAATGTTAATGCTGTAGTTAGGGCTTTTAGAGTTCTTCCAAGTTTTTCTCTAATGAAGATTATCATCCTTAGTTTAGTCCTAGGTACTTGATCCACTTTGAGTTGGTTTTTGTGTATGGAGTGAGGTGTGGATCTTGCTTGAGTTTTCTGAACATATTTTTCCAATTTTGCCAACACCATTTGTTAAAAAGGCTGTAGTTTCCCCACTTAACTGTTCTCATCTCCTTGTAAAAAATCAGCTGACCATAGATAGATGACCTGATTTCTGGGTTCTCAATTCTATTCCATTGATCTATGTGTCTGTCATTGTACCAGTGCCATGCTGTCTTAACTACCACGGCAGTGTAGTAGGATTTGAAATCAGGAAGTAAGATGCCTTCTACCTTGCTTCTCTTTTTAAGGAGTGCTCTGCTTATTTTGGGCCTCTTTCCATTCCAAATGAAGCTGGAGATTGCCTTTTCCATCTTGTTGAAGAATGGAATTGGTATTTGTATTGGGATTGCATTGAACATGTAAATTGCCTTTGATAGTATTGTCATTTTCACAATATTGAGTCTTCCATCCATGAGCAGCTTTCTTCTTTCTTACAGGGCTTCAGGTTGGCTCTTTAGCTGAGTGCTGAACTCAGTAGAGACCCAGGATGGAAAAAGGAGGGCTTCAGCCTTCAACGCTCTCCACACACCTCACCATACCACACCACACCTTCACACCCCCCAGCAGTCGGCCTCACATAGCATAGGCCTAGAAGAGCGGGATTGTAGAGTGCCTGGCATTGTTGCTATTGTGTACCTTCGAGTCAGAACTGACCCCTAGCTGACCCTCTAACAGGTTTTCAGAGGCAGTTTAGTCATACAGGAAGAGATTGCCCATCTTTCTCTGCAGAGTAGCTGATGGATTTGAACTGTGTACTTTTGGAATGGCAGCATAGATCCTTTATACTAGGCCAACAGAGCTCCCTTTCCTAGTCATGATTCAGAGATACCAAATGCAAATAAGGTTCTCAAAAGGGGTATCTGTGTAGCTACCCATATGGTGAGTGCAACTCCACCATTTCCTCTGATCATAGGCCACCCCATGTCACACCTCCCACCTCAGGGCAAAGTCGTTCTAAAGGGTCATTGTGTTGCCAACCATGATAAACCCTAAAATCGGACACAGCTTTTGGCTGTAGCTTTACTTTCTCAAGATCCTCAGTGTGAGGATAATTCAGTCCCTTGAGCTTTTCCAGGACCCCAGGCTTCCTGTGGAGATGGGTTGGCAAGCCAGCACCACCGTGGGAGTGCTTATGTTAGATCTGCTGCTTGGTGAAGGGAGCTAGGCCGCTGGCCTGCTTTCTAAGACCAAGCCTCTCCCTGGCTAACTGTTGTCGTCATTAGTTGCCATCATGTTGATTTTGACTCGTGGTGACCCCCTGTGTGTGGACTAGAACTGCTCCATAGTGTTTTCAGGGCTGGGACTTTGGGAGGCACATCAGCAAGCCTGTCTACTGAGGGGCCCCTGGGTAAGTTGAAACTGCCAGCTCTTCAGTTCATAATTAAACATTTAACCAGTGATGTGACCTAGTAGTTTGGGCCCCCATAGTCAGCCTTCCAGCATTGCCTCTCTGTGAGGCTTGGCTCAGGTTGGGGCCCCTGAGTCTAGATCAGATGGATCCCTTTTGTTCTTTGCTCTGCAGTCCAGTAAGATTTCAGATTGACTGTTATGTCTGGGCCCATCGCAGGAAGTCAGTGCCGGCATCTGGTAGGGAGGCCTGGAACCCCGTCACAGCCCCTCCTGTCAGGAGCTGAGATTGAAGAGGGCTCTAATGGGCCCTGTCACCCTCTGCTATTCCTCTTCCAAGCCCTTCCCTACTGGGGAGATGTTCAGACCAAAGATGCCTCCTGTCTGTTCCCTTTTCCCAGCTCTGCTGGTTGGGGAACTGGACCAGCCCTCTCAGATTTGCTGCCTTAAGAAAGCCTCAGGTCTCAAATTCTCCTGGTCCCTACTGTCAGTTATTCTCACCTCAACTCCAAACCCTGCTCTCTGCTTTGGAATGTCTTTCTTACTTCCCTGTGCATGTGTCAGCCTTGTTGGAAGTTTCTGTTTCCCAGAAAGATGGTCTAGTCTGGCTGGCTGTGGGGTCCCTCTTCTGTGAACTTCACCTCAGGCTCTTTGAATTGTGGGAATTTATCCTGTCAGCTGGACTGTGGGTGCCACGGGAGGAGGGGTGGAAGCTGCTGCTGCTTCATGTTTTATGCATGCTTTGCTCTACATCCAGTGGTTTCAGTAGAGAATCAATATATACGGTGTTCCCTTACGTTTGTAAAGCACTTTCCATCTGTTATTTTATTTGATCCTTGTAAGCATTTCTATTGAGGTTGGCAGGGCAGGCAGGAATCATCCTGTCTACAGGTGGAGGGACTCAGACGAGGCAGGGAGGGATGTGGCCTGGGCCACCGATGCAGGGGGCGCAGTGAGGGGTGCCACAGATCCTCCTGGGTGCAAGACTGTGTTCTGCTCACCCAACACTGTGCATCCCTGAAGGATGAGGCTGTTAGTCTCACTTTATAGCTGTGAAAAACAAAAGTACAAAAGATCATGTACTTTCCCAAGGCCACATGGGTCTTCTGCCTGCACAGTTCTTGGTCCCTCTGTCATCAGTTCCTAGTGCAACTGATTGTCTGAGACCCTCTAACGAGGAACCTCTTTGCCCAGGTGTGAGCAGCGCCTGTGAATAATTCTACAATTCCTAGTTAAGGAGGCTTGGAAGGGGCCATGTACCTCTCCACCCCTCCCGGTTCCTAAAGTTGGCGCATAGGATTTCCTTGGGAATTTTCCACATACATCTGCCTACGCGTCCAGAATGTTACCATTCCATTCTACCAGCCCTGTGATTGGATGGGCCCCGACATCTCCTAATTCCAGACCAGACAAACCAAGCACAGCTTTTCCTAAAGGGCAGAAGGGAGGTCCACCAGGCCCCTGGACGTAGCTATGGGTACCATCCCAAAGTCTTCTTTTAAGCCCGGAGTCACGTTGGACCAGCTGGTGAGGATGTGCAAGCCCCGGCCCAGTTCATCTTTCTTAGAGTAAGGGAAACTGGGCTGTTCTTGAAATGGCCTCATCTAGCCCCTCACAAATAGGAACGTTGCAGCAGTGGGTGGGGTCCAGTGTGTGGTACTCTGTAGTTATTCTTGCTCTGGGAACCCTTTAATAGCTGGGGCTCCCTCAGAGTTAGCATGCCTGGGCTGAGCTGTCTTCTGCTGTAGGATAAGAAAAATGGGCAGCAGATGTCCTTAATCCTAACCTAAAGGAAACATTTGCTGAGGACGCAGGTCTTTAGAGACCATGGAGGTTACCGTGGAGTCCAAAGGGGAGGTCCTTCCTAAGCAAGGAGGAGGGAGGCCTGGGTCAGGTCCACATGGGGAGTGGGCCTCCCCGGTGACCGAGACTACAGACCAAGCTTTAGTCTCCTGGGGTCTCCACAGTCTGATTTAAGACCATATGGAGAGCCCATACACTCAGTATAGAGACCAAAGACCCTATAGCAGCCCCTGCCTGAAGCTGGAGAAAGGGCCTTAATGCTTATGTGTTCCCAGAGAACCCAGGCAGCCACCCCTGGGTTCAGATCTTGCTCCTCTGCGCTGTGGATCTGTGACCCAGGGCAGAACACTTCACCTCTCAGAGCACCAGTTTACACATCTGCGAGACGGGGGCCGTACCTGCTGCCAGATAGATGGTGGTGTGAGTTTATAAAATGAGTTCACGAATCTGGAAATGCTCAGCCAGCAAATATCGTTAGCACAGTGCTTATTGGATGTGTGGGTGGGATGGATTAAACGGTATCTTCAGTTGTACAACCAGCTTTGTGGAGTTGAGTTTTCTTCCTGGAGCTGGTGCTTCCTGCAGGCAAGGAGGGCGGTTCCATGCAGTGGTGTGACCTTTCTTTTCTGCCATTCAGTTCTTGGGGTTGGTCCTGTGTGACCCACTGATGGACATTCAACAGCCTAGGGCCGCACTGGAGCCTTGGTGGGGCTCTGGGCCAGTGAGGCGCATTGTGGGGCAAGCAGATCCCAGGCCACAGCTGCTCAGAGTCCCTCTTCATTTTCTTTCTGGTTGAACTTGACTGAGATGGAGCTCAGCTTCTGAGGACAACCAGTCCTGGCTCCAGCTTGGGCTCTGTAACTCTCTAACTTCCCCTCAGGAAGGTCACACACTGTGGGCTTACACTGGAGCCTCCCTGAAGACTTGTTCTGAAGATCAAATAGGATAATATGTTTAAAGTGTTTAGCACACAGCAGGAGCTCAGCCCATGGTGAGTCTCACTGTTAATTTTTAATAGGGCTGAAAGAAAAGTCTCCTAAAGAGGCCTGCAGGGCTAAAGTGAGGTCACCTCAGAGGCAGATCTGGGCTTCCAGTTCTGTGCTAGGGGGTCAGGGAAGGAAAACCTGTCTTTCTTAAAAAAAAATAAATTATTTTTGTGTGAGTACCGTCAAATCAGATCTGACTGGTACAGGAGGAGATTGTCCCTCCTTCCCTGGCAAAGCATCTGGTGGATTCGGACTGTGCCCCTCTGGGATTGTAGTTCAGGAGCATGATGGGGACAGGAGGCCAAGGTTGGGCCAGGCTTTGACCTGGCTCAGTGTGGCATGTCCAAGAAGGGGTCCAGGTCAAGCTTAGCTCCCCAGAACTTCTGCCTAGACCCCACATGGAGAGTGGTGTTGCTGATGTTCAGGGAGAGTTTTGCAGGGGATGTAAACAACAGTGAGCGTGAACGTGGCTCAGATCGTGAGCCTGTGCAGGACAGGGCAAGGTTTCCACCTGTTGGCGTTCACAGGGTTACCGAGCCATTGTCGACTCAGTGGCACTTGACAACTAACAACAGTGTAACCATTTGGGTCCCTAGAATTGAAGAGGACTTAGACCAGATCCTGAACCTGGGAGCTGAACCTCAACCCAAGCCTCTGCCCAAACCCAAACCCAAGCCCAAGCCCCCGATAGCAGCGAAGCCTGCGTTGCCCAGGAAACCAGCTGTGCCCCCAACAGCAAGCCCGTCGGAAGCCATGGCTGTACAGCGGAAACAGCAGCAACAGATCCAAACCATGGACGCGATGGACATCTTGCAGTACATCCAGGACCACGAAGCACCTGGGCAGACTGCCCCCAGCCTCTTCTGACCCAGCCTGCTCTCTGCTGTCCCTGGCTGGCTCACCCTCTCCTGCGGGGGTGTGTGTGTGTGTGTGTGTGTGTGTCTCTGTGTGTGGTGGGGACTTTGCCTCTAGTCTGAAGGGAGTTGGGGCTGCTGGAAGCCTGGATCCTAGGAACCCCTGTGCTGCCTTGTTCCTTTGGCTCCTGATCTATGGGATCCAGATGGATCAACCACCTGCCAGATAGAGAGTGACTGTAGGAAATGGAGCTCACTCACATTGTGTCGGTCCATGTGGGTGTGGAGGGAGGGAGAAGGTGGGGAAGCCTCTCTAACCAGAGTTGAACCCCAGTGAGGGAGTCGGGATCTCAGGGACTCCTGACCAAGTGTGCCACGGGCTTCACGGCTTCACGTGGAGTAAAGAAAGCTCATCACACTCACTCGTGCCGCCAGCCCCAGAGCAGGGAGGGGACGGCAGGGCCAGTCCAAGCCTAGGCTAGCATGAGTGCTTTCTTTCCAGGCCTCTGCGGAGTCTGGGTGGGGCCTTCGAGAGCCAGGCTGCCCTGGAAGCCTCTCATAAGCCTTCTTTATCCACCAGATGCTAAGCTGGTTGCTTTGCCTGTGATCCAGGTTCAGAGAAGTCAGGCCTTCCTGGGGTCTGAATAGTGCCATTGACCAATACTACATCTCACTCACTCTTCCTTTCCCAGGGGAGGCCAGACCAGAATGTGGCCTCCTCGGTCCTCTGGGCGGAGGACCAGGGTCCAGCAGTGCAGCTTTCAGCAGCCTGGGCTGCAGCTCCCTACGGAGCACTGCTCAGACCTGGATGTGGGCTGACCTTCCATGCTGAACCTTCACCGTAGGCCTGGGTGGCATGCTGTCCAGCAACTGCTTCGCGGGCCCAGCTGCCACGGGAGGGGGTCAGTGTCAGGTCTTTCTTTAGGGTCTGCTCCTGGCCTTTCACCCGTGGGGACCACCTGCCCGGGCAGGGTCAGTGCCTTAAAGCCCAGCAGCCCAGCTCCCCTGCACACAGGTGTGGAGCTCAGGAAATTCTCAATGGTGTTGGATGGATCCAAGCAGGGGGAAATGCCATTTTTTTATATTCATGTTTAAAGCTAAGTTTTAAAGAAATACAGTAGGGTTTTTGTTTTGTTTTTAAAGAAATCATAGTTTTTAATAAAACACAGCTACTCTTGTTCCTTGGCTCTGTCCTGCTCACCTAACTGAGATATTGAGGGGGCTTTGGGGTTAGGACACCTGACCCCTTACAGCTAGAGGCTCAGAGCCAACCGTGACGGAGGCCTCAGTTATCCTGTGCCACTTGCTTGCTGCAATTAGAGTCTCAGGGTCCCCTGCCCTGTGCCAGGGCTGGAGGGATTGGCAGTGTTGTCTGTCCTGTATCTCACCGTGTGCCTCTTCACTTGGCTTATCCTGAAAAGCCCATCCTTCCTGTCCCGGCCCCTCCAGGTGGCTGAGCAGGTGGACCCAGGGCTGAGGCTTACAGCCCCACTTCTCTTCACTGAGGCCTTTATACAGTCCCCCACCCAGTCCCCCACTCCCACCTGCAGTCGGACACCTTCCCAGAACCCAGCCCAGTGCCCAAGGTTAACTGAAGGCCTTGCATATAGATATGTGGCCACACTGGTTTCTTCCTTTCCCTCTCATCCCTTTTGGATGCTAGCTCCCTGCACCCTTCCTTGTTGACCCCTTTTCCCACCCGCCAACACAGTCTGGACCACAGAGATATGATCTCTTAACCTGGAGAAGGCTTAAGATTGACATTGGAAGAGAATGAGAGGGTAGAGGGTAGATGCCTCTGGCTGGAGTCTCTCCAGAAGCTGGGCCTACCACGTCCGGACTCGCCGAGCTGTGGCCCAGCCTCGTTCTCAATGGCCTTGGGCTCTCTGGACACGTCAGTGAAGATTTGTGCTTCCCCAGGAAAGGACACTCTCTTAACTGCGGCTCATTTTTCACTGGAGGTCTGTATTGTCCTTACCAATCAATGATGCCCTTTCATCCAATAAACCCCATGTCTGTGATTCATCCCAGCATTTGTTAGTGATGTTCTTGCTGTGTGCTGGGTTAATGGGAAGGAGGAATTGTCCCTTATAACAGTGAGCTTAACCAGGGGAGGTGTCCTTGAGAAGCCCGGCTGGCTGCTTTCTCCCAGCCTCCCAGGTGTGGTGCTCAGGAAATTCCCAATGAATTGGAGATGTTTAATGGATCAAAGAGGGCGGGGAGATGGCTAGAGCTAGCCTGCTCTTAGTAGATGGGTTGACACAGTGATTGTAACAGTGGGCTCACGTATCTCGGCAGTGGTGAGGGTGGCACAGGATAGCATTGGGTTCAGATCTGTGCTTCACAGGACCCTTACAGGTCATCGATTCAGCGGCACCTAACAACAACAACAGCAGTCTCTTAGGGTAGAGTCAAGGTAGAGGAACTAATCCAGCCATTTTTCTCAATTGTATAAACTGAGGCAGAGAGGCCAAAGGCCCATCCTCAATGGAGGTCATCAGGACAGTAAAAGAGACTAGTCAAACAGCACCTGTGTGAATCGAGGACCCCTTCCCTAAGACCTCCTCACTCATCTTCCCAAAGCAGGAACTAGACCCCACTTGGACCACCGTGGTGCCATTTCAGCTCTGACACCAGACCAGATTTTTTAGCCTCTTCGGATAAACTTTTGCACACAGTGAAAACCTGCATGGGCCGCCTCGCCTCACAGTCCCTGCTGGTGGTTCAGCTTCTCAGATGTTTCTTTCAACCCTGGGACCCAGAGATTCCAAAGCCAAACAATTCTGCACACTGACCTCCCCAGATGAACAAGAAACAGGTTCCCGTAAAGCCCCGGGAAGCTGCATGCAGGGTATTTGTGTGCACTGATACTGTGACTTCTCCCCTCCATGGCCTGAGTTTAGATCTAATAGCTAAAGGCTATTAGATATTATTATATCATGTTGGTGTTATGTGCCATTGAGTCGCTTGTGACTCATAGCGACCCTATGTACAACAGCCTTTAAACTCTGCTCTGTCCTGTGCCAATCGCACTGTCTCTGACACACCCATCCCAATTATCCCAGTCACTGAATCAATCCACCTAATAGAGGTCCTTCCTCTCCTGTGCTGTCCCTCCACCCTACCAAGTATGATGTCCCTCTCCAAGGACTGGTCTCTCCTCACAACATGTCCAAAATATGTTAGACGGAGCCTCAGAATCCTTGCCTCCAAGGAGCTGCCCGGTTTGACCCTCTCCAGGATGAATCTGTTTGTTTTCCTAGCAGTCCATGGTACCCTCAATACTCTTCTCCAGCACCACAGCTCAAAGGCATCAATTCTTCTGTCCTCCTTAGTCATTGTCCAACTCTGATGCATAACAAGCGATAGCAAAGACCACGGCCTGTATCAGACGCACTATATGTATATAATATCATCATATATCATATATTAGATAACTAATAGAATTGGAGTCAGCCCCAGAGAACTGTCTGGCAGTTCTGAGAAGGAACATATACCCCAAAAAAAGTTGGCCGTAGAAGAGGAACTGAGTTTTTATTCAAGGTCGACAGCATTTGAGTCCCACGCGGACCTGGTGGTGGCTGTGGCCCGAATGTCTCCTTTCCTCCTTGGACTGTTCCTCTCAGGAAGTCGTTGGTTCCAACCAGTTCTCCTGGAGAGTCCCCATCCTGGTGGCTGGTCCGGCCAGGTCCACGTCATCAGCCCTGCCAGAGTGCACGCCTGCTTTTGAGCTCCTATGTGTGATCACGTAAAGGCAGTGGATCTGGACTGATCTCTCTTCCTGTGCACTCAGTAGGCTAATCAGGGGCTCTGGGCCCTCACTCCGGAGGCAGATGAGGCAGCAGATGCCCAGCACACTCTTTGGGACCCTGTGGCCTCAGTGCCCAGATACTGCTTAACATTGTATCAACATACTCGGTGAGTGACTTTAACCACCAGTGCTATGCTTGGATAGGAGGAGCCCTGGTGGTGCCATAGTCAAAGTGTTCGATCGCTCACTGAGCCCACCAGCCAGCCTCAGAGGCAGATGTGACAGTCTGCTTCTATAAGGATCACAGCCTTAGACACCCTGTCGTGCAGTTCTCTCTCTCCTATGGAGTTGCTGTGAGTTGGGCCAACAGTGGTAGGTTCTGAGTTAGGCTTTGAGATGTCTCTGCTCTTGTCTCTGGGGAGATCCAACTGTACAAAATCAGACTCACTTCTCTAGCTTACCCTACTGTCCAGAGAAGAGGGGACCCAAGCTACCAGAAAATCCCCTGTATAGTGACCCTGGTTACCTGACTAGCACCATCACATTCTGTTGTGTCTTTGTGTGAGTGCGATGACGACCCAGAGCCGGTGTGACCAGAACTCCACAGCCCCTTTGAGTGACCAGCCTTTCAGCGGGGTGGGGGTAGGTGGGCTGGCCTCTCCAAACCGTCCCCTCACACAGCATCCTAATGCCTGGAGGTTGGGGTAAGCTGATTGGAGGGCGCCTGGGGTCATCAACGGTAAAGGTGTTGGGTTCTCATGTAGCCACAGCACCAGTGAATCGGTGATCAAGCCTTACAAGAATGGAAGAGTCTGGGTTCCAATCCGGTTCGGCCATGTGTTGGCCAATCCAGCACCAAGTGAAGCTGAGCCTGTTACTGCCATGCCAGTGAAGACTTGCGCTCGGCTCGTGTGAAGGGCCTGTTGTGAGCTGCTGTTAAGTTCTGAGCACCGTGGCCCCAAGTGTGACTGTAGAACACTCTATAGGCTTCCTTGGCTGGCTGTACTCTTAATGGAAGATCCCCAGATGCTGACCCAGGTGTTCACTGTGCATATAGGAGAGCCTGTCCCTATAATCGAGGGCTCCTGAGGTTTACCATGCTCAACAAACACTAATCTCCCTCACCCACAGCTGACCTCCAACTTTTCTCTTCCGTAGCCCAGGCTGCTGGTAAGTGTTGTGGGATTCCGTATCTCAGGTTGCACTCAGGTTAACACTACAGCTTCTCATGCAGGGATTATGGGCTCAGCACATGCTCTCAA